ACAAATGCTGACCCTGCCAGCAACGTCCACATGAAAGATTAAAACTCAAATGTATTCTCATCAGTGAAGGATTGCAGCAGGTTGATTCATTTCCATTAATAACGAAAGGAAGTGCATTCAGCTAGAATGAAGAAGTGCATACAGGTTACCATGAGGGGAACATATTTAATATTATTCTTAAAAAGTAACAACAGCCAAATTTGTAAAGTTTGCCTCAAAACTTAAGTCTAACAATGCAACACTTGCACCTTGACTGAACATAACCTGAAGTCCCCGAAACTGATAATCAAAATTAATGTACCATTTCAGGAAATTGACCTAAATATCAACATATCAGCACTGGCATTTCACTGCAGCAGAACAACCTGTCTATGTAACTTTAAAAGTCTTATTTCTGGAAGATCAATGAGGAACTGTTTCAGTTATAAAAGTCTGAGAATTCTTACTGCTTGCCCATGGTCTTATTCAAAACTTTGTTCAGCAGGGTCTTCATTGACACATTTCATGAATATTTAAGTGGAAACCAGTTGAATTTTGATATAGTTTTGCCTACCTGTGCCTACCTCTGTTCCTGTTTTCATCATATAGATATCAATGTATTAAATCCTATATTTATTTCACTGTTTCCTGGGTTTTCTGTCAATTAACATCAATTTGAAACATACTTGCTGGGGTGCTACAGATTTATTCTGAACAGCAATTATGGCCTTAATATGGGTGTTAACAAATATCAGGTTGAGGGGCACATTGAATAGTGCGTAAGGAAACTTGCATTTAGAAGAGTTCAACTCAACCTGGAATCAAGTCTAAACACTTTTTGTTTTAACTTGGTACACTGTAGGCTTGCATACATATTGATGTTGTGGCATCACGTAGGTAAAGAAAATTATCAATTATTTCTCCAAATACACAAAACTGAATCCACTTGAACTGCTTGTGAACTTCACAGCTGATGACTTGGGTCCAGAAAACAGATCATTTATCTAATCCTCATTGAGTAAATAATGTATAGTCTATTGATATGTTAAATTACAAGAATGATGAAAATGCAACAGACAGAGGGAATGAGGTTGTTGACTTGCTCGCTGAGTGCATTTGTTTTCGTTCCAATGTTTCGTCACCATGCTAGGCAACATCATCAGTGAGGCCTCTGATGAAGCGATGTTGTTCTACTCTGTTTGGAATTTATACTGCCCAGTCCATTATGGTGAGTAGAGTCATTTCTGGTTTTGTTCTGTATGGGTTTGTATATGGGGTCCAATTCTATATATTTGTTATTTGCATTATGGGTTGAGAACCATGCCTCTAGGAATTCCCATGAGTGTCTATGTTTGGCTTGGGCCACTATGGCTACCTTATCCCAGTTAAACTGATGGCCTTCATTGTCTGAGTGTACTGATATTAAGGAGAGTTCATCCTGCCGTTTTGCTGCTAGCTGATGTATTGCACTGGACCCCTCAAGCTTTAGGGGCTGAGGGGTTACCTTAAAGTGGTTTCCAATTTTTGCTTCAAATGGCCAGTTCCTTTGCAGAAAACATTTGTCCCACTGGATGACGTGCAGCCAGCTCAAGAGCAGGACAGTTAATGAAATAACTCCAGTACATCTACCAGGCAATTCAGAGAATGTCAGGTGGTACTGCTTGGGTGATTTGGAGGCCACAGTACAGTGCGTAATAAAATGCAGTGGTCATCAGGTTATGGTGACATCGTTTTACATTTCACGGCACTTTAATCCTTGTGAGTGTTAAAGACCCCATTCCCACAGCATGCAGAACCAATGTAGTCTACAAAATACCATGCAATGACTGCCACAAACATTACATTGGACAGACAGGAAGGAAGCTAGCCATCAGAATACATGAACGTCAGCTAGCAGCAAAACAATACAATGAACTTTCCTTAATATCAGTACACTTAGACAATGAAGGCCATCAGTTTAACTGGGACAACATAACCGTAGTGGCCCAAGCCAAACACAGACACACAGGGGAATTCCTAGAGGCATGGTTCTCAACTCAATGCAATTAACAAACATATAGAATTGACCACCACATACAAACTCATACAGAACAAAACCGGAAATGACAATACTCACCATAACGGTCTGGACAGTATAAATTCCAAGTGGAGTAGAACAACATCACTTCATTGGAGGCCTCACTGATGACGTTACCTCGCATGGTGACGAACCGTCTGAATGAAAACAAGCCAGCTTGGTGAGCAAGTCAACAACCTCACCCACAACCCAAGCTACAAATCTTTGCTAAAACCTTAGACAGAGGGAGTCTCAATTTTCCAAATGCGACTTCTGACAATTTACTCAAACCACCATCCTGGCAATGTTTCCTTGACATTGAAGTCAAAAACAGTCCTCTTCACTGACAGATAGTAAGAACTGCAGATGCTGGAGTCAGAGATAACACATTGTGGAGTTGGAGGAACGCAGCAGGCCAGGCAGCATCTGCATATTTCTGAAGAAGGGTCCCACCTCAAAACGTCAACTTTCCCACACGTCTGATGCTGCCTCGCCTGCTGTGTTCCTCCAGCTCCACACTTTGTTACCTCTTAACTCGCAGCTCAGAAGGTAGCATGAAACCACAGCTAATGAAACAACCTCCTTCAATTCACGAGTTTTAGGTTACGCGCAATGTATTCAGTTGATGAACCAGACTGGGGAAAGGTTATGTCATTTGATCCTTCAGCCCTCTCACTGTACTGACTGACGAGGTGCAGATTTCCACCTTCTCCAATTTTTGCTTCAAATGGCCAATTCCTCTGCAGAAAACATTTGTCCCACTGGATGACTTGCAGCCATCTCAAGAGCAGGACAGTTAATGAAATAACTCCAGTACATATACCAGGCAATTCAGAGGATGTCAGGTGGTACTGCTTGGGTGATTTGGAGGCCACAGTACAGTGCATAATAAAATGCAGTGGTCATCAGGTTATGGTGACATCGCTTTACATTTCACAGCACTGAGACATTATTTCCAGGTTCAAGCGGTGTGTGAAAAGGACAAAGAAGCCACATGGATTATTAAACATTGTGCTCACCTAAACATTTAACTGACTTCAAGAAGTGATATGATAAGATGGCAGCCAGGATCTTGAAGACTGAAACATGGTTAAAAGATACACAACAGCAGGGAGAGATGGGTAATATTCTGGAGGTCCTGGTCATCAATGTTGTTACATCTGATAGAATGGGAGCAGAAGTGCTAGAACCTGCCATGGCTGCAGTTAGATGTGAAGAACACAAGGAGTGAGGAGAGATATATTCAGGAGACAATGCCAGTTGAACCATCGAGGGGCATTTATTTGGGCTTGAAAGCTGTACACAAAGGGACTCACTGGGTAAGAACGTGGGTTGACAGAATTCAGAACTTAAAAAACTGCATTTCGGAAAGAGATTTTGGGAGGGAGCCAACTCTAAGCATTCAGAAGCAAATGGACTCATTAGCAATAGCCAGCATAGTTTTCTGCGGGGGAGGTCTTTTTATTTGAGGAGGTGATGAAGATGATCGATGAGGGAAAAGCAGTTGATGTTGTCTACATGGACTTCAGTTAAGCCTTTGACAAGGTCTCTCATGGCAGACTGGTACAAAAGGTGAAGTATGGTATCGGGGTGAGCTGGCAAGATGGGTACAAACTGCCTTAGTCACAGGAGACAGAGTAGTGATGGAAGGATGCTTTTTGGAATAGGAGGTTGTGACTAATGGTGTTCCACAGGGATCAGTGCTGGGACCTCTGCTGTTCATAGTCTATATAAATGATTTGGAGGAAAGCGCAGCTAGTCTAACTAGTACGTTGGCAGGCAATACAAAGATTGGTGGGGTTGCGGATAGTCAGGAGGATACAGCAGGACATAGATCAGTTGGAGGCATGGGCAAAAAAGTGGCGGATGGAGTTTAATCCTGACAAATATGAGGTGATGCATCTTGGAAGGTCAAGTACAGGTGGAAATTTTATAGTGAATTGCAGAACCCTTAGAAGTATTCATATGCAGAAGGATCTGGGTACGCAGAGTTTTCTCCCACAGCCCAAAAACATGCAGGCTAGGTGGATTGGCTGTGCTAAATTGCCCATAGTGTTCGGGGATATGTACATTAGGTAGGTTATAGGGGGTTGGGCCTGGGTGGGATGCTCTGAGGGTCGGGGTGGACTTGGTGGGCCAAAGGGCCTATTTCCACACTGTATGGATTCTATCATATATCATCACCGAAGGTGGCAGCACAGGAAGATACGGTAGTAAGAAAAGGCCTATGGTATGCTTGCCTTCATTGAAAGGGGCAATGGGTATAAGGATAGGCAAGAGATGCTGCAGCTTTATAGAACTTTAGTTAGGCCACATTTGGAATATTGCGTACAGTTCTAGTCACAACACTACCAGAAGGATGTGGACCCTTTGGACAGGGTACAGTCAAGGTTTACCAGGATGATGTCTGGGTTGGGGGATTTTAGCTACGAAGAAACGCTGGACAAATTGGGTTTGTTTTCACTAGAATGCAAGAGGTTGCAGGGCTGCCTGATAGAAGTTTAAAAGATCGTGAATGGCATGGGTAGAGTGCAAAGTATGAGACTGTGTCCCCAGAGAGAAGGGGTCAATTACAAAGGGACACAGGGAGCTCCGACAGTGCGGCGCCCCCTCAGCACCGACCCTCCGACAGTGCGG